GTAGCATTTGATAATTTCTCTTTTTTTGAGACGATTATGTCTTAGGGCAAAGCAAATGATAGGCAATTGAAGAAGCAACAGCTAGTGTTATAACAGAAGGTTCTAAAGCACTCAAGGGATCTAGATTGATACATTAATAAAAATGCTTCTTATAAACAAAGAAAAGTAGAAAAGATAATTGGATAACCTAAAGCAACTAGAAATGAAACACATTTTCTGAAGTCTGGAGTTATACATCAAGTTCCCACAATTCTGTCTAAAAAAAAAAAAATGCACTTAGCTGAGGCTGGTGGCAAAGCTATGAATTCCCAGCTGGCTGAGGCAGGAGGATCGTAGGCTCAAGTCCTGTATGGACTGTAGAGTGAATTCAAGGCCAGGCTGGAAAAAAATAGGGAGATCTTCACAAACTTTTTAAAAGGACTTGGAATTATGTAGCTAGTAGGAGAGGACTCACCTAGTTTTACAAGGCCCCAAAATCATCCCCCAAGTATTGCAAAGTCCTCCATATGTGTGATTTCAAGATTAGGAAACAATCTTTTATATTTCAAAGCTATATCTTTTTGTTTCATACTGAAGATTCTCTTAGTGATGTTGTCAGAAAGCTGTACAAACTACATGAAAAGGTATTGTACCACATGATTTCTTAGGAAGTGGTTTTATTCAGGCATTTTGTCAATGGCTCTCACAACATTACAAAGAAATCAAGGGCTTTCTGAGTCTGCAAACTGTACTTGCTTCAACGAAGGTATACTCTATAAAAAAACAAAAAACAAACCAGAACTCCTACACACATCACGAAGTTCCATATTCTCCAGCAGGTAGGTCCAAGGTCTTCATCATCAATTTTAAGCCTTCTGGATAATACACCATTACCTCCTAATTAAGGATGCAGATAATTTTACAGCTTCATACTTGATAACTCTAAGGCATCCATCCTCAATTCAACAAGATCTAAAATGACCAATCTTCTTGCCTGAATCTCAAACTTTTCTACTTGTTATAGTGACCTTATAACCCACTCAATTTTTTTCACCCACTCAATTTTATAGCCCAGAAAATTCAGCGAGTCTTTAACTCCTTATTCTTGAAATCAGATTAACTCTGTTTCTCAACAGCTTTGGCTCATGTTCTTGTTCTCTTGGGTCTGATATCCTGACCAAGTGATCTCCCCAAGTTGCTCTCTGCCTCCTCCAACTCATCCTGGCTCTCAGCAGTCTTGAAAGTTGTCTATTTTCTTCATGATGAAGACCAATTCATACCCATGTCCGTAGAGCCCTTTAAAAGTTGGCACCATTCTGCATTTCCAATCTCTTAGCATGTACTAACACTACATGCTTTAATCTTCACCACAAAGACATTATTATCACTATTCCCCTACGAAGTGGTTCTCAATCTTCCTATGCCTTGATCCTTTAATACAGTTGCTCATGTTGTGGTGACCCCCAACCATGAAGTTATTTCATTGCTACTTCATAACTGTAATTTTGCTGCTGTTATGAATCGTAATGTAGATATCTGATCTGTAGGATAGCTCATATGAGACCCTCAAAGGGTCACAATCCATGGGTGAGAACCACTGCCCTAGGGCATCCATGTTTTCACACTTGCTTTGATAACTGTTTAAAATGATCTCTTGTTCTTGGCATGGAAGATTTCTACTTTGCAAGCTTTTCCTCTTGTATCTTTATCTGTGAAGTCTCCACTCCTGCACCAGGCTACCAGTTCTTCATTTATTTGTGTTACCATTATGCTCTCTGTCTGCATCTTTTGGGTTAGGCTTCAAGTCCTACCAGTTCCCAGAAAATGTATGCTTTTTAGTAACTTGGGTCTTTGCATATGCAATCAAGTTGAGTTGAGGCTCAGGGCAAAACAGAGTCTCAACACGAGTGTTTTCACAGAAAGGAAATTTGGACTCTGGTGGGTGTAAAGGTTGTGGTGAATAGTATATAAAATGGAAACAGAGACCCAATGATGTAGCCTCAAAACAAGAAAGACCAGACATTGCTGGCAGCAGCCAGAATCTATGAGGCAGCATGAACTACATCCCTTCTAGAGTTGTCAGAGGCCTTGATTTTGGGTTTCAGGCCTCCACAACTGTGAGAAAACAAATATATGATTATTCAAGCTGCTGGTTTTCAGTACTCTGCTTATAAGTTAATGAACCAGGCAAAGTAGCACACCCCTCTTGATACTATATAATGGTTTTACATTATGTCTATGTTCCTACACTGCCTGTAGACTAGTCAGCAAAGACTGAGAAAGCCTGAAACTGAGTTTTCTTTGTACCTCATCCCTGTTTCCAATCCTTCCTTCAGCTCAAAGTACACTCAGGTCCTAGGTTGGTGGTTTTAATAGGCCTCTGTCTTTAGCTAAGAATGTTCTAAGTCTGAGAGATGTGTGGCTCAAGGCACCAATAAACCTAGAACAAAAGACTGGTTGAGGCAAAGTGAAGTATCACCATGGTGGGTATGTGGACAGCAGCAGCATATCATACTGTACCATCAAATATTTTCTTTCTATTTTCACACATGCATTGTTCTTACTGAGTCATTTTGAAGTAAGCCTGAGGCATTGCTATTTCACGTATACAAACTGTAGCATGCATGCCCACCCAGCTTTTTATATGGCTTCTGAAGATCTGATCTCTGGCCCTTGGCTTGTGCAGCAAGTGGTTTGTCCACTGACATCCCTCCCCAGGATAAAAATAAATATTCTTACATTAGTATTTTATTACCAGAACTAAGAAAAATCAGTTACTCCTTGCCATTACCTATATTGTTTCTAGTTTAATGTTTCCACTAAAGTGCTTTTATTACAGGTAGTTTGTTTACATTGGGCTCTAAACAGGGCACAGACATTATGTGTGCGTCTTCTGGTGTTATTATTGCCAGACATTTCTCCCTAGGAGATGTCTCAGTGTTAAGGTTCCTACTGACAGGGAAGGCAAAGGCAGACTAAAAGCCCCATATCTCATGTTTAAAATTCAACTGGAAGATTGGCCTCCAAAGTATCAAGCTCACTAATTCATTTGCTAATTACTAATATTTTTAAAGAGACAGATTTTATATAAAATCCAATGTTTATGTTTTTCTCACAAAAATTCTGGCAAAGCATGTACTTCATCTTGTGTTTTGGCACCTGATGGGTGAAGCCTGCACACCCCTGTTCATCGTGGACTCCATTCACCATGTGTCTTCCTTCCCTGCAGGTCTTCATTCACCACAGGCTCCTGTTCACTTCAGTCATTCTATCTTTACCACAGGCTCCTATTCATCACCATCACCTCTCCCCAACTTCACCAAAACAGGTCCCATCCACCATACTCATCACCCCCTCTTACATCACAGGCCTTTCCTTCCCCCTCTTCAAATAGGCCTCTTTAACTATAGGACACCATGCACTGTTGGTTTTCATTTACCTCAGGCCCCCATTTATCACAGTCCTCTGTTTAGTTTGACATGGACTCCCATTTACCGAAGGCCTTCTTGTCACAGGCCCCCACAGACCACAAGCCCCTGTTCATCACAGTCATCCGCTCACCACAGGCTCCCATTAGCTTTAAGTCCTACACCATCTGGTTGACCATGGGCTCCTCTTCAGCTTGCACTCCAAAGACTTTCAGTTTTTATTCTTAATCTTACACATGCTTTCACGTACTAATTACAAAGGAGAAAATTCCTGCTGCTGTCCAAGAGATACAGACTTTGGGATTCTCGTACTACAGCTGTCAAAACATGAGTTTATCATGTTGGAACATGTAACCCTTGGATTTGTTCCTTCATGTTTATAATAGCTGTTCCATGCAATGAAAATGGAGTACAGATGTTACCTCTGCTATTTTGATAACTCAAATACGTCCAACCTGAGTTTATAGTCAATACTCCTGTGCTTATTTTACCATTAAAAAAAATAAGGTTACTAAGGAAATAGGCAGCTAAAATACCCTTTAAAATAACCTTTAACCATAGCCTCAGTTTAGAATCACTCATATACACAGTTCCAGTTATGATGGACTTTCCTTGATCAGCCTTTTCATCATTAAATTTTTTATCCTGGAGAAACAAAAAGCCTGGGTTCCTGCCAACAATTGAGAGAGAGACAGAGACAGAGATAGAGACAGAGACATAGACCTCTTTAGTTATAAAACAGTGATTCCTCCCATTTCAGATCCTAAAAAACACCAAGCCTATGTTGCAATTGAACAACAATGAGTTTGTGGTTTTAAATTTAAAGTCATCTAGCTGGGAATACCACACTCCACAATCCATGTGCCATTAATGAGTAGAATTCCCTCTCACTTATTCTTTTTAAAATATAATTTGTGGGAGAAAAAGTCCCCTGGAAAATAGTCCTGTAGCTATTCTGCTCCTGAAGAAATTACTCAAGAAGCAGGATTTCAAGACCCCGTCTTCACAGGTGCAGTACCTAAGCATATTTCTTGAGTTTATTAAAAAAAATTTCTAAGGGAGTGTCACCAATGACTCTCAACTTGATTGCACTGAATTTCTAATGTTACATCGTGGACATTTTGAGATTTACACTTCTTCATAGGAAAGCAATAAATCATAAGGAAAAACTAAAACATAAATTTTCAGTTTGTTTTTCAGATGGTTTGATAAAGGTTAAGTTACTAGTGCCATTCTTGACCTAAGTGATTGATAATTTTAGAACTTCTAGAAAATCATTTGTGGCTGTGTTGCCATACAATTTGGACCAGCAGGAACAGGATTTGGCAGTCTTCCTTGCCTGGTCATATCTGTGATAACTTGCTTTCACTGTTTGAAAACCTGTCAGTGATACGAGTCTATTTTTCCTAGGCACTGATATGGTGGAAGTACCCACTCACCATGCTCACATCCCAGGGGAGGGTGCTGATGGAAGTACCCTCTCACCATGCTCACACACCAGGGGGAAAGTACTGAATTTTTTGGCTCAGAAAAAGGCTCTCTATCTGGCAACTGAGTGCCATGAAAATTTGATTCATATTTGTGTCGTTCCAGGAGTAAACACCTATTGCTGTGAAGTATACTGTTTCTGTGGAATAGAAGCATTCTTTAAAGGAAGAACTAACCATGTAACATCCTCTCCAAGACTCAGGGGGCATCATAGAAGAGTGGTTGGAAGGAATGGAAGAGCATGAAGATGGCATATACTCCAAATCCTAACCAGAATAACACCATCTTGCAGCAAGCCACACTCTGCTGGTCTATATGCCAGACTACAACCAAACAAACCATCCTTCTCACAATTAGATGTTGTTTTGTAAGACCAGCAAAATCTTTGATGAGTTTCCCAGTGTCTGTCTGTGCCTTATGTTTTCCGAGTTTGTTGTCTACTCTAATGCTTAACTGTTAATCCCAAAGAGGCAAGGGAAAAGACCACCAACCCAAATCATCATGAACAAATTAAATAAAGCAATTAATTAAAGCAATATTTTATTCATGTTCATGGGCTGCTTCCCCTTAAGGGAGGATTTAGGGGGTCAACATGGGACATGAGGAAGAAAAGGTTTTATAGCTCAAAGGTAGAGGCTTTCCAAATGGGGGATTTGGCAGGCAAATAGACATGGTTACATGTGGGGTTCCCTTTTTCCTTGTGGCCCATTGGCCACCAGTCCACAAAGACAAAAGAGCAAACAGAGAGCTTTGTATGGCCTGTGAATTTGATGTAAATAGTCTTCCAGGGTATGCTTCAGTGAGACAGCTCAGCTTTATTCCAGAGTATAGGGAATATATAGGATTGGGGACAGTAGCTGGGAAGTCATTTAATTTGTATTAAACAGCACATTCCTATCATAAAGCTCCTAGTACAAGTCTTAGTTATCATCTGTAGAAGCACGGTCTTATTCTAAAGCTCATAGCTCAATGTCTAATTACCATATGGGCAGCAGGAGGAAAGTTTCTACAGAGTCTACAGAGTCTACAGATACCTCAGGCATCCAGGCCTAGAGATAGATAGTCTCCAAACAAGGTCAGGTAGAGAACTGGGCTCCTTCCACAATTGTGGGGGTGAAGGAGAAGTCCTCCATGTTGCTGAGCTCAGAGAAAGCTGCTAGGCCATGGTAGATTGCAACCTCTGACCAGCAGGGCCTCTCAGTAGTTACAGAAACAGAACATAAGTGCATAACGAGTTAATTATAATGACCTCCTGAAACAAAGACATGGTTGCAAGGTGGTCATATCAAGGTTATCATAAAAACAGATGGCCATAATAATCTTTTGAAGCAAAGGCATGGTTGCTGTTTCCTGGAATAGGCAGTACAAACCCATTTGTAGTTAAGATGATAGGTGGGGAATAGCCTGATCCTTGAGAAACAGAGATTTAATCATAAACAGGAATGAACCTAATTTGTTTTTGTTGTAAAACGGCTTTCAAGCCCCAGATGAAGAAGGCTTCATGGATTATCAGTAACATTAGTTTATACTATAAGCTCAGATTGCATTAATTCTTTTTTAAATCTACAGACACATAAAATGGGAGCATGGTATGGTGTGGCAAGGGAGGGGGTATTGAGGAAAAAGCAGCTACCCATAGTAGTCCACTATTCCACTGGTAACCCCAGATAAATTCATCTTTATTAGTTAAATAAGCTTCAGTGTTCATTGAGCAGTTGGTACATTCCTTGGTGAAGTCAGATGTTAATTTTATACCCTGCCAAAGATCACACTATATGCCAACACCATAAATTCTGACCAAGTACAGAGCACAAAGCAAATATGGAAACCATGAACCAAAATGAAATTTTCATCATTTAAATTGTTCTCTGAGGGTCACAGAAATTAGAAAACAACTATTTTCTCATAGACTCTCCCATTAGCCATGGCACTGCATCAGAAACAGTATCTGCTTGTCAAGGTTCTCAAACTGAAATACTTAATAAAGAAAATCAGAGAGGGTGAGAAGCAAGTAGGAGAGAGGAAGGGAAAGGAAAGAAAGGCAAAGAAGGGAGGGAGCCCAAATTATGAATTTTCTTTCAAGCATATAAGGAACAGAAACAAACAGAACCATGTAGGGAAACTCAATTATTTGAAAGTTTCTTGTAGCAAAAGAGCAATTGAATTTCAAGGTGAATATTTACTTACATGAGCAGGTAACAGTGTGTGAGAGATGGCTGGATTGATGTGTTGTAGTCAGAAAACAGGCCATATGTGATTTGTGCAAAGAACATGTGCTTCTGGTTTTCTAGTTTCTCTTGCAAGCATTTTGCACTGTGGATGTAGCAATTCTCATCCGTCAAACTGCTTTTTGGAAGAGATAGATGGAAGATGATAAGGCAATTTCCTGTTCTCAGAAATCTCATCTCATAGATTGCTCAAAATCATGTCCTCCTGCAATCTATCTTTCACAAAACTGGACAGCAGCTTGGGAGTGGACAGAGTGTGTGAGGGGTACTGTGCTGTGAGGAGTGGTTTGGTGTGAGGGGTGGTGTGGTGTGAGGGGTAGTGTGGTATGAGGGGTGGTGTGGTGTGAGGGGCAGCATGGTGGGTGTGGTCTGTTACTTAGGAGAGTCAGGAGAGTGGGGCCGAGCCACCTACAAGGGTTCTGCCAATACCCTGAGGGAGGGGGATACTGAAGTCAGCATTAGAGGTTCCCTTGCCACCAGAAGGAGCAGATAAGCAAGAGCTGAAAGCCCTGTCCAGAGACCAGGGGGCCCAAAGAGCAGGAAAAACACCAGAGCCAGCAATGATGTCTAAGAACTGTCCAGACTTCCTTCACCATCTGGAATCTGTGATTCTGACAAGTCCTGCCTGTAGTTGAGAACACTCAACATTCTAATACATATGATCAATAAATTCAACATCTGGGTGAATTTCAAAAGACAAAACAAAACAATAAAACCCCGATTTCCTGTTAATGTCAATTCTAGTGCCTAATTCTTTGTAGTTTCTTTATAGGATATGTAGTTTCACTGGTCTCTTTTGTATTTCTCTTCTATTTATTGATCTTCCTGGCATTCTTACTCATTTGTTCTGTGACATTTGGAGTGCTATGGGATTTTGCTTGTACAGCATTCCACTATAAACAAGTAAATTGGAAGAAATTAACCTATTCACAAACTTTATTTAATTTAAATCTTATTTTATGTCTCTTATTGACATGTTGCTGCTTTTTAAAATTCTCATGAAAGTTATTGTTAAGTATTTATGTTTCATCATGCCTTTGATCAATGTTTTAATTTTGGATTCTTAATAGTTTTTTTTTTTTACAAATTTAAATGAAAACACTTGATTTTCATAAATTCCCTTTGTGTGTAACTAGATGATTGCATTAAGTCTGTGTTCACCTGCCCCTCTTGAATTTGCTACATGGACTATTTTGCAGTCTACAGATAATGAGATTTCCTGTGCCTCAATGCTGGGCCTCCTACTTCAGCTTCTGCCTGCTGAAATTCCCCTCTGCTGACATAACTTTACTCTTTCCAGCCAGTCTGACTCTCTCTGGTGTTATTCTTTAAGCTCCACCAAGGGATAGAAGGTAAATACCAAGACAGTGTTGGAGACCCTCATTTCTGTAGTGAATATTTTCCCAGGCTGTCTCTCAGTCCTAATCTCCTGCTCATGCTATAGAGTCATATAAAGTACCAACTTGTACATGTCTCATTAGTTTCCCAAACCAGCTCATCCAACACAATTTCACTTTAAACCTTCTTTTCCAAGTTCATTGTTGACAACATCTGTTTTATCTTATGTTCTCAGATTGGAAACATGCAAATGTTTTGTCCCTCGCTCTTCTTATTCTATTTGCTCTCATGCAGAGTTTAATACCTTGAGCCTCCTGTTGGGTTCTTCACTACTTCATCCTCCTAGAGTCACCAGCCCAGTGAAGTCATTAATTGGAGGATAGGGAGCACTTTCTTTTTCTTAAAAATACCACTTTCAATCTGCTGTTCTCCTGCCACGATCAGCAGCAGATGCCTAGTTTCTTAAATATTAACCTCAAATTCCCCTACATCTGAGGTCTCCACAATTTGCAAAATATACAGATACAACCTGTGTAGGGAGAAACCCGCTTGGGCATGGTCAGCGGTACCTCTAATCAGGGTTTCTCCCTACAGACCTGCTCACCTTGCAGAGTTGTGTGAGGATTAAACAGAGTCTCTCAACAAGTATTTCCTTAAACACCAAAACAGTCCATCCTTGCTTTCCAGCTGCAGACATTACAGTCTCCATATTTTCTTGACCTTTGCCATTGGCCACTCTTCAACAGCTATTAGGTCTCTCCTTCATCTATTTCACATAAATGGAAGACTCCTAAGTTTTTAAGGCAACATTCCCCTCAAAATGTTCCAATATTACTCCATCTGCATGAGCTGTCATTCATTCAAACTATATCAAACCACAAGATGAATACAGTGCCCAAACCCATACATGGGTACATGCTATGAAACCACAGAGCACCGACTTTGTATATTGTTTATTACTATATGAGTACATCTATAGTAACTTTTTCCTTTTAGTTAAAACTTTATTGTAAATTACTTCTTAAAAAAATCACGCAGAGAGAGTGGCCAAACCCAAAGACTACACCTCTTAATGAACTTCTATATAAAGGTCATTCTGCAGCCATAGCATTCCCCACTGGACTTTAAACATTCCTTATAATTATATTTTTATGCACTTACCCAGTCCTCATTTGCTTTCTGTTGCTGTGGCAAACACCATTCTCTAAAGCAACTTGGAGAAGAAAGGAATCACCTGTTTTTTGGCCAGCACACCCGCACCATGCAGGAAGTACACAAGTCCTTTGTCAAAGGTCAACCATCTCCAAAACATGCATATATGCATACACACACAGATGTACACACACACACACACACACATACACACATAAACATATACATGCAAATACACATACAAAAAAACTCAACCTTAACAACCAAGCAAACAAACCACCACCCCAACAAACCTGTTTCCGCTGCTATGACTGTATCACACACTACCCTAAGTCTTAAACAATAGCTACCTTCTAATGCTGCTGGGGTAAAGACAGCACCACAGAACTGCCTTATTTGAAGGAAAGCTGGGCCTCCACAAGACTTGAGTGGCTAGGAGAAGGGGAAGGTGGCTGGATGCTGGCCAGTTGGGAAAATCTGAAGGCCATTCCCTCACTTACTGAAGGGACAAAAAGTGGAATTGATCGTGTGAAATAGTTTGGAGCTGTGGGTAGCAGAGCCCTAGAATCTTGTGGGAAGAACGTAGTGGGTTATTCCGGTGGGTGTTCCAACCAGAATGCCAGTAGAAACATGGGCAGCAGAAGCCAGGCTCCTGAGATTTCAGAAGGGGACAGGCACTATACTGTGAATTGAATGAGAAGGATTAATGCTACATTTTGGCAAAGAATCTGGCTGTGTTCTCTGTCTATTTCCTGAAAAATTCTTTAAGAATTCAAAAATAATGGATTAAGTTGGTTGGTGGAGGGAATTTCAAAATA